AAAAATCTTTTTTATTTAACACATTTTTGGTATAAGTTCATGATTAAATAGTCAAAACAAAGTATTATTTGTGTGGTCATATAAAATTGCACGCCTTCTTGACCAATAATTTAAAAATAAAAAAATGAACTATCATAATTGAAATGCATATTTGTTAATTTTATGTCTTTAATAATGTATATAAACGTTTTCGTAGTTACCTAGCATGACTTTAGAAACTTAATAAGCATTTAAAAAATGTTTTTAAACACTGAAAATCAAGAAATATAAAGAAAGTTAAATGTTAAAAGATACTTAAATCATTGCAGTTTGATGAAAATTTAAAAAAAATGCAATATTTATTAAATAAACCCAATTAGAGTAAAAACTATCCAAACTCCCTGATCTCTTCTATATGAAACTATCCAAACTGTCTCCCTGATCTCTTCTATATGAATATATCCAAACTGTCTCCCTGATCTCTTCTATATGAATATATCCAAACTGTCTCTCTGATCTCTTCTATATGAATATATCCATGATCTCTTCTATATGACCTCTTCTATATGTCTCCCTGATCTCTTCTATATGAAATGCACACAGTTTCATATATTTGAATACCACATCATTGTACAATAAAGTTTTTGCATTATTGCATGTCAAAACAACATACATAACATTGTAGAAGTCATGTTGATTGTCTTTGGGTAATCTGTACCTTAAAATTTTTTAAAATTTTGAATGAAGACACTCACTGGTGAATCCAAGAGCATCATCTTTCTTCATACAAAATACGTTAGTCTGAATAAAGTATAAACTTTTGTTAACGAAGTTGATAGTTTTAAAAAAAAAAAATTATATCAGTATCGAAACAATTGGCTAAATTTTTTCCAAATTCAGACTGATATACCACATCAAGAATATCACAATTGCATCACATAACCCATGAAATTATTAGGAAAATTTTTTCTTTGAATAGTTTTAATGAGTATAAAATATTAATCTTTAAATTCTTCTCTATTATTCTTTGCTTTTAAAAAACCATGTTTTTACAAAAAGATTTCCATTTTTTAGCTGCTGTGAACTTATTCAATCCAGATGATGTTAATGCCCTTGTGAAATATAAAAGATTATCTATTGTTTATATTGATATTGATAATTCATACAATATAATAGTTTTAGAGTTTTAACAAACAAAAAATCTTCAATGTCATCGCTTTTATTGCAAAAACAAAAGGGATGTTTAACATTCAACCTGTGTACCAAAAGTTTGCATGATGCACAATAATGTAATAATTGTTAAAATCAAATATTTTTAAAGTTTAATGTGATTTTGTAGTTCCAGAATTATGTTAAGCAGCTTTGAATCAACAGGTAGTTTGAATCAAAAGATAGTATCTCTGATAAACCAAGTTTTTTCCATTCAAAATTTGAGTGACATTCTTTACTTAAAACAATTTCAATTAGTAATATTTTTTCACTTATTTTTCTTTTGCTAAATCAGGATCAATACCCTGTTATTTAAGCAAAATTTAAAATAACTTTCACTAACTCTTTGTTATTTAAATGCCATTGTAATTTTTTATTATAAATAATAGGTTTGAAAAATTGCCTTATATCTACTTGTACCTGTAAGTAAAAGTTTCATTTAAAAGCACATTTTTTTTATTGTAGTTTGGAATCTGTTTGACTTCCAGACCCACTTAAAATCTACCGCGTCCGCCATCAGCAAACACCAAAAACTGGTTTTCGAAATAAAATAAAAAAAGTGTGACAATTCATAGTCAAATTTTTTTTTTTAGTTTAAATTTTTTAATTACTAAACCATTATGTAAAACTACCATTATGTTGTTGACTTTTCCTTTTGTCAATGTTTTACCATAGAAATTCTGAATTATTTTTTTATAAAGGTCTAAATAAAAAATTGCTATCATTTGTAAATCAATTTTGTTATAATTTAAATGAGAAATTTAAATTAGGGATATAATTTAAATGAGAAATTTAGATTATATTGCTAACTAAACCCATCAAGATTTTAAAAAAGTTACAGAACAAAACAAAATAAAACAATTTTTTAATTTATAGTTAACTATAATTAAATAAAATTATTTTATAGCATAACATATTTGAAAATAATAAATAAAAGATTTTTCTTTGGAATCTAAAACTTCAAGATCAAGAACTTGTAAATTTCAAAAGATCAAGAACTTGTAAAAATCTTGTAAACATTTGACTCTAGTAAATGTTTTAATAAGACAGATTTTTAACCATGTTTTACCTGCATGCATTTTGCAGCTAATATCTCTTCCTGTTAAATTGTCTGTGAATTTTCAAATTTTTTGCATCATTATGTTTCCACACAGAATTAATATGATAAATACTGCCTACATCAAGAATTAACATGGTGGATACTAAACATATTCAGTTTATTTTATAGTTGATTTAAATTCATATAAATAAATGAGTTTTTAAAATTAGTATTTAGCTTCAAGATATATTTAATTTTTAAGGACATACCTTTAGAAATAGACAATAGTGTTCCACAAGTTGCTGAAGTGACTTTATTTTGTTTGGCAAGTTTCTTTTAAAGGGCTTTTGCTGCAAATTTAAAAATTTGCAGCGGAAGTAAAATGTAAATTTGATACTTGCATCTGGACTGGACATTTGTGTCGTCTTAAACTTGAAATTTCAACAAAATATTGGTTGCAAATCTTCAAAATGATTTTTGGGATGCAGATAGTTTTAATCAATGAATGGTTTTTATTATGATAAAATCTTTAATAAAAGTTTTGTGCTTTTTTCATTTTGTAATTGAACCTAATAGCAAAACCCTTTTCTCCTAGTCACAGTCTCAATACAAACACCTGTTAGAGTAATTTTTATAAATTTAAAAGCATCTAGTTAGTGGAAGAGTATAACTATTTTACATTATTAGCAAATTTCAGATGTAAAGATTGGATCATTAAAGTTAGATTTAGATGATCAAAAATCTTTACAAAGTAAACTAAAGGAGGACTAAGTTGTATTCAGAAGAGGTCTGAAACTAAGGTTGCTTATTTTATGTATTATATTGTGCATACTTTTTCTTGGTTTAGAATGATATGAAGAACACTTTGGCATTTTACTTTAGCAAGTGATAAATTCTTTATTGGATTTTATATTGTTCATGAAATATCTTGTCACATCATTAAAAAAATTTCTCATGAATAAATTACATAGAATATTGCTTTTTCGTTAAAATGGTTTGACATGATTATGTAATAAAGTTATAAACACTAGAGGTTGTTAAATTTACATAAATTATGCATTTAAGAATTTTTATTTTTGTTTATTTTCTGTTAACATCACCAGACATAAAGCCAGCAATATATGTAAACAGTTTTTCTGTACAATTTTTTTCCATCTAAATTTCAATCAAAGTTTAGCAATTCAGTGTATTGTATTAAAACATTTATGTTGGAAATTATAATAATCAAAAAAGTAAATGTTGCAAGTTATAATAACCAAAAAAACTGGCAGAAAATCTGTTATAGTTGGTCAATATAAAATACATTCAATAAATTTTTAAATTTTTACATAACAGTCAAATAAATATTTTTTACATAACATGTAGAAACAAAAATAGAAAGCATTCAAAAATAAAAATAGTTTTAAATTTTAAAGCTTTTAAAATAACAAAATTCAGAATACATAATAAATTTTGGCAAGATTATTTTACTTCGGCAAGTGTATTTTGTTGCTGAGTCATATATTGAAATAAAGATTCTTGATTGACAACTTGTCTAAATGTAATTCTTTTTTTACACTTTCTGTATTTAATAACTTTACTTCTTTTTCCTGCATGTTATATAAGTTGTTCTTCATTGAGAGTTTACAATTGGTTTTTTATTTTTCTGTTTTTTTTTTTTAGCTCATTTGAGTTGCTTTGCTTCTAATCTTTTTTTAAGAAAAATGTTGTAACATTGTTTTTTGTACAATTTTAGCTTACAATTTTTGGAATATTAGATTTCTCTCTTTTTTTACATAAGGCTGTCTTTTTGGTTTAAAAATCTATTTATTTCATTTTTTTTTTTTTTTCGTTCTCCCTTGTTTTGGTTTATTCTTGTCAAACCTTGAAGCTTTTGTTGTTGGTTCAGAAAATGGGGGTTGAAGGCATTATATTGAAAACCAGTAATAGCGTGTAAATGTGGAAAAAAAATTCACTTCCATGCACTTGTTTAAACAATCGAGAAAAATTTTATTTTACTAAATTTTTGCATCTTTGTAATACTTGATACAAAGTGCTATATTTGTTTAATATGCAATAAATGCCTCTGTCCTATGTCTGAATAATGTAGAATGAATGAGCTGGTAAACAAATCGAATTTATATTCTTTTTATGGAACAACATTTCTACTATCAAACTTACATGAGTTGTATGATCTACATGTAAAATATACCGCTAGTTGCTTGGCATTCATATATCAAAGGAAGTGTATACACTCCCTTTAAACAATGATGTAAAAAAATATGCAATATATAATTCAAAAAAGTTGTAAAGTGCTCCATTTAAAGTTTATAAATTTTTAAAATCTGGCAGGAAGCTAGAATAAAGTAATATAATAAAATACTTGTGTTGTGTCTCTGTATTTTTTTTCACCATTTCCAAAAAGATACATATGTTTACAAAGTCATTAATTGGCTCTGTAAATAAAAAAACAAAACAAAAAAATTCTGAGTTTTTTTGCAACTGTCAAAAACTACTATTAAAACTTTTTTAATAGTAGTTTTTTTAATTTCTCCATCTTGTTTATTTAAAATTTTATTCAAGTATCAAAAAAGTGCAAGTAGTGAAAGTTTGCTTTTAAAACAATCAGGGAGGACAGCTTGCTTAGCTCACTAAGTCTGTTTTAGAAAAGCTTTTTACTGCATTTGCAACCTTTTACTCTTAGCCAAGTCTGTATATAGATTTATGTTTATAATTGCTTTATTATAATTATTACACAAATTTTCATTATTAATACTATTCTTGTTGATATTAGGCTGACTTTTCTTTACCAACAATGGTATTAGCTCCTGTTATATCAATAAATATTTCAGATAGTAACTTATCAGAAGTTAAGGAGTCTTTAACAAATACTTCAATAAAAACCAACTTGGAATCCTCAATTTTTAGTCTGCCTAATACAGAAGTAGATACATCATTTGTAAATTTTAGTTCTGAAAAGTTTGATTTCGAACAGATAAATGTTGAAGAACACCATCTTGGTAGTCAAATTAACTCACATGGTATAAAGTTTTAGATATAAAGTATAAGAAAAAAATATTTTACTTTTAAGTCAGTTTGTATCTATATTTTTAAGTAATTTATATATATATATATATATGTTTAAGTAGTTTGTATCTATATTTTTATTAGAAAATTTATCAAATGCACATGACAAATTGTCAAAAAGTAATAGTTTTATTACAGAAAGATCATTGCCTACAAGAGATTTGGAAAAAAATCTGAATGACAAGGTACAATTTTATTTAGTCAATAATTTAATAATAATTTAAATTGTTTATGCTGAAAAAAGATAAAATAACTTTATTATATTTTTATAAAAAAGGATGCCGATGTTTTGGGTCTATCTATGCATGCTATTTCAATGCCAAATCTTCGTGAATCTCTTGAAATTCATGACAACGTTAAGTCACCAAAACATGGTTTCTTTAAAGTTTTCAAAAAGAACAAGAAAGCTCAAAGTAGTTTAAACTTATATTATTGATTTATTTATAAAATTTACATTATCAATTTGTTAATAAGATCTCCTCAATCAATATCTTCTTATTTTAAAAATCAGGCTATGAAATCAAAAGATATTCATTGAAAAATTTAGTTTATTACTAGTATAATTTATAAAAACTGTTTACATAATCTGTTGATTATAGATTATATTGTTATATGAGTTCACAAATCTTATATAAGCTTATGCTTCAAATATTCTATCTAGTATATAATGAATCTGTTTTTAGAGGTAGAATCAGTTAATATTTTTGGTATTAGCAACAGAATCTAGTTTCTTGCATTTAATATTACTTTTTTTTTTAGTTACAACAATTCAATTCTATTTTTTGATAAAAGAATTTTCTAGAATAAGCTCTTTTAAAACTAATTGATAATTTATTTTCAAATACATATTATTTAAATGTACAATTATCAAGTTTATATTTAGACAAATGAATAAGAAAAAGTAAAATATTGTTATTTGCTTTCATCAGCAGTAAAAATTTCAAAATTTGTAGGCTGTTTTTTGACCATTTTTTATTCAGTAAAGTGGAATTATAGTGTCAATAGTGGGTATCTGGCATTCAATTATTTTTTTGTTTAATAAAATGCTCTTCGTTGGTTTTTGAGCCATTCAGATATTAGTGTCTTCACTGTTTAAGTTAAAAATTGGAATGTTATATTTAATAAAATATATATTTATATTTTTTTTCTTTTAGAATTATCTATGTCAACAGATCAGTTATCAACAGATCCTTTACAAAATGTAAATTTTAAACTTTTAAATAAATTAAATTTACAGTTTATTTTTTATTTTTACAAATTTTAATATACAAACAAGTTATTATTGGGTACAAGAAATTCACACAGTTGAAATTCTGCATCCTGGTCCTTTATTACTTTATTCCAATCTCAGTCTGCATGTAAAAAATTTATTATTTTAAAAAAAGTTTTGGGTCAGCCCTATTTTACCTTGTAACTGACACTTTGACACTATGGAAAAAAAGTAATGTGCTTTAACTTTGGTTAAACTCTCTTCTTAAAAGTTTATTGATTTTTTTAATTTTTTGCATTATAATGGTTTTCTCGCTGTTCTCATTTTTCTGAGTGATAAAATCGATAAAAATCTGTACAAATGTCAGATGTGATTTCACAATTTCATATTGTAACCACAATTTCTAATTACTAATATTAATGCTCACTACATTAGCAGTATTTTTATTTTTTTATTGTTCAGCTAATACTTGCAAGTAATAGTGTAGAAGTAGAGCGCTCGTTTTGTAAAGAAGAGGTTCTAAGTTCTCCGCTTGTTTATTTTTACAGGGATCTTGTTAATCAAACTAGTATTTTAGAGAGGCAAGAGAGGATTGTAACTATAATTAAAAAAAAAAATAATTAAAGAGTTTTTTAATGAACTTTGATCTACTTAAGCTTTTTTTTTTTTTTTTTTTACAAAAAAAAAAAAAAAAAAAACAGTATCAAAAGTGTCCTAAACAGTGTTCAAGAGAGCAAATGTATTGGGGTATTTTTGTGCATAAAATACTGTGGCAAAAATTTAATCTTCAACATAAAAATGAATTAATTTTAGTAAATTATTTCAGTATTGTAATTTTAGTATTATAGACCTATCTGGCATAAATAAAATTAAAAAATTTACATCAGATTGTTCAATTTCAAATTTAATTTGGAAAGTCTGATTATTTTTAAATTTAATTCGAAACCATTTAGGTTTAATTTGTTAGATTGGACATCAAATGTAAAAATAAAAATAAACAAATGAAAATAATGTCTAATGAGAGTTAATTTAATGTAATGTTATATAAATAAAGTCATCAAATCTACTTAAGAAATTATTTTGTAAATTTAAATAACTTTTTAATTTAACCCTTAAATTAGTTTGGTTTAATTAATCAATAATTGAATTAATATTAAATGTGAACTAAAAAAGTTGAAAAAAAAAATTTATTTTGTTGCAGAAAAAATACTCAACTTTGAAATAACAAAACAATCAAGGGTCTTCTATAAAGTATGTATGCAGGTTAGGGGAAGGGGGTTACCCAAAAACATGAATGCATACAAGAAAAGGAAGGGAGGTTTAAGACAGCAAGTAGGTTTGAAATCTCTTGTTCTGTACCTCTCCACAAAACTTGTTTTCTTTTTTTTTACAAAAGCAAATTTTATGAGTTTAAAAAATTAATTTTATGTTATGTAACAGTGGAATGTCAAATGACTAATAATTTTTTGTTTTGATGTTTTGAAACGTGTTGAGAAGAGGGGGTTGATTTTGTAATGAATAATGTGTATGTACATACATTATTCATTACAAATGTACATAATGCTTACAAGAGTGAGGGAGTCCTAAATCAGTGATTTTACTGCGTACGTACTTTATGGATGCCCTCTAAATAAAATCATATTTCCAAGTGCAATTATTATTAAATGTACAATTAAACACTGAACTATTTAATAAGGGAATAAGAAAACTTACTTCAATTCTTATTGAAACAACAGAAACTGTTAAAAAAGACTGGTTAAAAAAGGTTTTAACCAAAAATTAAACACTGCTGGAAAAACACTGCAAAATTTCTTTTAACTTTTATTTGTCAAATTTGCAACTTAAAAAAGAAATAATGAAGAACAAAAATGAAGAAATTTAGGAAATTTTACTAACAATATGCTGTTGAACAGAGATCTATAAACATTTGTCAAACTTGAAAGATCATTTTCAAAAATGAACTTGAGAGTTATCTAGGAAATTGACAGGAGTTGCAAAATGAACAGTCCTCAACAACAATGTCATAGATTTTATATAGGTTTAACATCTCAAGGCAAAGGTGTCTTATTTAAGTGGCATTTTACATTTAATGTGATGAAAAGTCCCATTCAGTAAGCATCATTATAATTTCAAATATGAACTAAAAAAAATATGTTAATGTAAAAAAAATAATTTTCATATATAACTATAATAACTAGAAATAAAAAAATGTAATTTTTTAAATAAAATCATTATAAAATATGTAATTCAAAAAAATATTTTTTTCATTCATTTGAATTTTAACCTAACTAAATTTTAATGTTCAAGCATTAAATTTGAAGCATGCACTTATAATTTTATTGTTTGAGAAAGTTGAATTAAAACAAGTTTGAACAAATTAAATTAAACAAAATTTATGTCATTTTTACAAAAATGCCCCAATATTTTTTCCCTGTTGACAGCTGTTTAAGAAGATATTGTTTTGAAAAAAAATTGTGTCATTGACAGCTGTTTAAGAAGATATTGTTTTGAAAAAAAGTGTCATTGTAATGTAAATCAAAATCCATTATAAAAAATTCAAGTCTAATCATTAAGTCTTTGTATTTAAAAGTAAAAAAGCTATATATATATATATAAATATATATATATATATATATATATATATATATATATATATATATATATATATATATATTTATATATATATATATATATATATATATATATATATATATATATATATATATATATATATATATATATATATATATATATATATATATATATATATATATATATATATATATATATATATATAAATACACATTTGTATAAATTGTTTAGGTAATATAAAAATTATTTAAGTAATAATTATATAAGTTATTTAAGTAGTATTTGCAACATATATTTAAGTTTAAATTTTTTTAATTAAAATCTTTTTAATTGACGCAAGTACCATGTTATAAATTTAACCCACTTATCAGGGGGTTTATTTTACATGGTTACCAATTCTAAACATCAAGAGATTTTTTGATGAAATAATATTTATTTGAGTTTAAAAATACTTTTTGTATTATCAAGATATCTAACTTAAGGAAGTTAGATATCTTGAATACAAAAAGTCCCATAATCCATCTGTTTAAACACAAAAATCTGGCATGAAAAAAAAAGGTTTTAAAGATTTTTTTTGTAAGATGTATGTATTGCTTCTATAGAAATATTTTTTTGGTTCTTTCAGGTGATTGTGAATCTCACAGGGTGTGTAGAGATAATTACAGAAGGAAGATTCAATCAGACTGAATTTGTTTTAAAATATCTGTTATCTGTTAGTCTACTAGTTTTATTGCTATTATTATCGGAACTTTATCTTCAAGTTTTTGTACTTTTAAATGCGTTTTATAAATGTATGAACTATGATTAGGATGTAACATGATGTAAATAAAAGAAAAAGCAATAAATTAGGCAGTTTTCCAACAACAATAATCATTCCTGATTACTTACTTCCTTATTAAAATGAAACCATGACAAGTTTGTTTGACACAAGAATCAATATTTTGTGTTAAGTGATTACCATGTTAAAAAAGCAGACAAACCATACCAAAAAAAGTTCGCAATTTTTTTAATATTTGATTTTGTTTTTTATAATTGTTCTGGAGTAAAGTGGGAGATGCGAGTCTATGGTGTTAGATGAGTCTGAAGATATATATCAGTGATATGTTTTGGATATTTATTAATTTTTTTAGAGAACAGCTGAAGATGTAAAGATTTTTTTCTATGTATGTACTTGGTGGTTAAAACAATATTATTCAATTTTAAGATATAGTACAACAATATTCAGCCAGTCAACTTTTCTTTATACAATCAAATTTCATGTCTGAACTCATGTCTGAGCTCATGAACTTTTTATTTATTAAAGGCCTAGCCTAGCTTTTTTTTTCTTTTTTAAAAAAAAAAAATATATATGCTGGACTAATGTATTTCTCCAATATATAGTTAATAAAGTAATTGGTTTTCAAAACTTTTATTTTCTAGAGTAATGTAAGATTGTCATCTGTGGACATTGATATAAATGGATCACCAAAGATTAACGAAATAGAAAATGATGGTATATATATATATATATTTTTTGAAATGAAGATAACCCTTTATATATATATATATATATATATATATATATATATATATATATATATATATATATATATATATATATATATATATATATATATATATATATATATATATATATATATATATATATATATTATATAAGTTTTTTTTGGTGGGGATTACTCCCCAGAATGATAAAGACCACGAGTCCTTAGCAACATATACAGCCAAAGATGGGGAAAGTAGCAATACACTGGAAACATCTGGAAAAACTCCTCTGATTCTTGCAACTTTGTGTTCATCTTTCTCCATTGAGTATAGAGCTTTTGCCATATCTTCCATGTCCTTGTAATGGCCATTGTCAGAAGCAACTAACAACATTACAAAATGGATCCATGTATCCGGTATGATTTTCCCATTATTTTACAACAACTTTAGCAGCAGATTTAAAGTTAGCATAGTGGAATATCAGTAATTCCCTTGATCCTATAAATAATTTTAGCTTTGTTATTCAAATTAACATTTTTGTTATTATGTTTGTTTGTTAGTTTATTAAATTGTTTAAACAAACCTGAAAGGCAGCAGAATCTGCAAATTCATTTTTCAGGAACTATGGAGCCTATGAACCATGAAATAAAAAAATATATAACAGCTATTCTATCAATGTCTTTGATAATATCTTCACTTAGATAGATGATGTATTTGGCAGCAGTAACTTAATCGTTTTGAAGGGTCATGTCCATAAAGTGTGTGTTTGATGTAGCTCTAGTGTCTTGATAAAGATCACACCACCAGGTAGGTGGTGTGATTTTTATCAAGATACATAATTTCAAGCTCAACTATTTCACAGTATTCACCACATCTAAAACTGAGGAATCATAATATTTTTGGAAACAGATTTAACAATGGGTACCTGCCTCTTTTAAACTTTAATTTATTTAACTTATCTTACTGTTTATCAGTTGCTACTTTCATGAGGTTTTTTCAGGTTTGTAGTGTTAAGCGGGTTAAACAGTCTTACAAGAGTGTTTCTAAACTATTTAACCAGGGCTTAACTAAATCTTGCTTTTCTGGAGATCATTCTGACCCCTCTAATGTTACTATTATTAGCAATCAAACAGTCTTTTATTCTTTAATTAACAAACTTCTAATATTAATCTAAAGTCTAATAACTTTTTTAAATTTAGGGCTCCCAAACACTATAGACCAGGGTAAAATAGGTGTATAAAGCCTGAATTCTTTTGGGACTCCATATCCCTGCCTTTTGCTAATGTAATAAAATTAAAATTAATAACTTTTTGATTGCTTAGAACAGACAGCTGATCTGGAATCTGATCTCTCTTGAATGTTACTATTGATGAATGGTAACACTCTTATGAATCTTCTACTTTATTTCTTCTTGGATTATCATTAACTATTGAAAATATTGGGTTATCATTAACTATTGAAAAAAGAATAATGTTTTGGTCAAAATTTCTACAATTTCTGTGCTAGATGTGGACCAAATATGTAAAACTGCCATATAAATTGTCTGGGCTATAAAAAAAAACTAAAGATTAAATTTTAGAAAATGAAACTTAAGAAATTCCTATAAAATATTATATTTTTTGTTATACTTTATAAGCTTCCATTAAAAAAAAAAAAAAAAAAAAAATTTTTAAATTTTTTTTTTTTTTTTTTTTTTTCATCCAATCTTAATTTCAAGAAATAAAAAGTGTAAATTAAAGTCTTACTTAATCAAACTCTTAAATTTCTAACTCTTTCTTGTATGAAATACCATTATATTTGGGCTGGTTTTTCTAATAAGACATTCTCATTTTGACAAGGTTTTAAATTGTATTTTAAATATTGCTGGTAGTGGTAGAGGGCTCTCCTTGTGGTGGGGATCAAACTCAGAACTTCTCCTAAGCAAGAAGTTCTGAGTTTGATCCCCACCACATCCCTGGTAGTACCACGCTCAACTTGTTTCTCCGCACAGCAGCCTTGTTTGTCAAGGTTTGTGTTTCAGAGTTATAGAGTTGAGAGAGGGTTGTAACCACTAAAGTAGCCTTCTCAACTGTAGTGGCCCTCTTGGTCTTGGGGTGAATAATTAAAAAAAAACAAAAAAAAACTACTGAGCTTGAACGTATCTAGCACGCTTGCTCACGTAAGCTATTGTCATTATGTTGCATCCTCTTACTTTAACTGTTTCTTCCTTAACTCTTTTCGTCATAAAGTTGCATCCTCTTACTGTAACTGTTCCTTTCTTAACTCTTTTCTTTGTTTTTTGTTACTAGTGGTTGCTTTTGTTAACTCCACTAGTTAGTAGTTGCTTCTGTTACCTCTCCACTAGTTAGTGGTTGCTTCTGTTAACCTCTCTACTAAAATTTGAGGAGTTTATTTTAATTTAAAACATTTTTATTATTTGATAAAAGAGGAAGCAAATATTTTATATAGAGTATTACAAAATATGTAAATAACATTGCGGTTTTATAAATATTTTTCTATAAGTAATTTAATAAATTGTTTTAAAATTTAGTTAATAATGAAGTGGCTGTTTACTGGGATGTTCAACAGGTTTGTTTATTTAAATTCAAAGTTGTATTTAATAATATAGTTACTTCTTTTTATGGCAAATGTTCAGTGATGTAAGTGACTTGTACTTACATCACTGTAATAGTGACTAGTACGTACATCACTGTACTTGTGACTTGTACGTACATCACTGTACTTGTGACTTGCATCACTGCAATAGTATTTTGTACTTACATCATTCTACTTGTAACTTGTACTTAGGTCACTGTACTAATGATTTTATTTACATCACTGTAATAGTGACTTGTACCTACATCACTGTACTTGTGACTAGTACTTACATCCCTGTTTTTACAAGGACAGTTATGTAGGTACAAGTCAAAAGTACAGTGATGTAGGTACAAGTCACTAAAATGAAATTATAAAAAAGAAAAAGAATCTTGCAAAAATAATTAGAAGAATAACTAAATTAAATTTTAATAAATACTGTTTTTTACTGCAGCTTCAAATAGCTACTATTTAAACAATCATTAGTCTTGTTCTGAAAATTATATTTTCAATAAATGATGAAGTCCATTTTTAGAAAAATGAAGAAAAATTAAAAAAACAACATTACAAAACTTATTAAGTATATCAGAATCATTCATTTAGTTATAAGTCTACTCAGAATTGTTATCTGTCAAATATGTCTGCAACTTATAAAATATGTCCAACATTTTCTATCAACATATTTTGACATAATTTTATGTCTTAATTATTTTTTTTCGACATAAATTATGTCAGATATATTTCTTTATGTTTTTTGATGATATAAAATATGTCAGACATGTTTTCTGTAAACATATTTTGACATAATTTTATGTCTGAATTATTTGCTGTTTTGAAAACAGCAAATAATTAGCGTATTTTATAATAATTTGATGAATAAAGTGAAAATATGTTAAAAAACTAATTTGTTAACATATTTTCATTTTATTCATCAAATTATTTTAAGATGCTACTAAATTGTTAATTTTATTTTTATTTCGAGAATATAAAGTATAAAATATGTCTGAATTAAAATGTCAAAATGCCAGACATTTTATATCAGCAGAAAAAAATTCAGACATAATATTGATAGATATTTTAAGTGTTTAACACATTTACAGACATTTTAAGTGTTTATAATATTTACAAATTCTTTTCTTTGATTAGTTTCTCTTAATGGGCCAATTAACTTTTAAAAATGCCCATCTTTCAATAAACTAAGTCATAGTTTTTATCTCTTCATGAAGTTGACATTGAATTCATGTCTTGATCTATAATATAAGTTGTATATTATTTGATTTAATTTGATATAAATAGCTTGTTCATTTCATAATAGATTGTTCAGATTAAATTAGAATTATATTTAAACAATTAAAGATGTATCAAGAAAATAGAGGAATTAGATTGTTTTAAATACCTGCTATACATAACATGTTATCAAGGTTAAAACCAAATGATAAACATGTGTACGATGTACTTCACCTCCACATCAGATGTAATTGATATGGATGTATAAAAGTATATGTATAAAAACATTTTTTAGATCCAATAGTATAAAGGTTTTATTTTATGTTCTAACTTTTCCTTATTATCATTAATACATCCATCTAAAAGTTTAACTAATCAAATGTTTAACTAATCAAAAGTTTAACCAATCAAAAGTTAAAGTTAAACCAATCAAAAGTTTTAATTTAAAAATGAATGTTTGGAAGTGAATGGAAAGTTATTTAATATTAGTTTATTAAAATTGATTTACTCATAATATTACTTACTCATAATATTGACTCATATCCTGTAAAATTCTTTTCAGCTAGTCTTAGTAATCATTCTTTCCTGTCCAAAAATTATTTAATGTTTTCCTGTATTTTAATACTTTCTCTATTACATATTTTTTTATCTTTTTGAGATGTAACTCTTGTGTTTTAGAATTATTGCTTTAAAATAGATGTAAAAATAGTAAAACATTTGAATGTTTTAAAGTTTAATGTAAAATTAAACTTTCAATTTCAATAAAAGAACAAAATTTATGGGTGTTAATGTTAAGTTTGTATGGCGTGCTGTAGTTTTTGAGGTGGGCCTCTTTAACCAATCAAACTGGAACTTATGGGTGAAAAAATTTTGTATCACACTTGATAATAAACAATATATCAATACTTACAATATTTTAGAAACATGTTAAAAATATTGTATTTTAGGTAAAAATATTGCAGAAATATTTTGTCTTATTGTCTGAGAAAAACTGTCAATTAATATAATATGATAGTTTCATGATATAACAAAAATAAATAAACAATTTTATTGAATGTTTTCCATAAAAAGAAATATATATGTTATCAGTAATATGATTACAAATGAGATGTTGTTTAAACAATAAATTGTATTTGATTTTTTTCATATTTTTAAAGGTGGGATTGTTTTTGACTGAGATTGGTCTATCACAATATGTTAGCAATTTTCAAAGTCACAATGTTAATGGTCGTGTTTTTCTTTCTACTAAAGAAAGTTATTTAAAAGTAAGAGCTTTTTAAATTAATATTTTTTGTTTTTAATTGTTCATTTTATGTTTTGCTTTTAATTGTTCATTTTATGTTATTTTTTTGTGTTGATGAAAGAAAATGTTATTTTTTTTATTCAGTAGATGAAAAATAAAAAAAACATTTTTCATCTACTGAAAAGTCTCATTGTGTCATACTGTGATATGTAGTTGATTGTTGTAATGAATTAATTTTCCTTGAAATTAGTTAGTTAGGCATCATTCTTGCACTCTAGTAAAGAAAATTAAAAATTATTTAAGGAACTTTCTTATCTTTAAAAATTTCTCTTAAAATTTCTTTAAAGAAGGAAATAAGATGCTAGGTTTTTTGAAATTTTTTTTACTTTTAAAAATAATGTTGATTAAGGAAACCAATAGTTGATCTCTTAATGAACAATAGTCCATGTAAGCATACTATTGTGGGAATATATAATGAACAATCATTAATGTAAGCATACTATTGTGGAGATATATTATGAACAATCAATTTACATTAGAGATAACATATAAGCTAAATTAAGCCAAACATTAGTAAAATAAAGAACTATTTTTAATTGACAACATGAACCATTTGGATAAAAAAGTTATATTTTAATTTATTACTAATGGAATATAGCTGTAAAAATTTAATAACATACTTATATATAACAATAAGAACCAAAAACACAGTTAATGTAGATAATAAACTATTAATGAGGCGGTAATTTGTTGCTACTATATAGAAACAGTATTATGTAACAGTTTTATGCTATATATATTGCTACTAATAAATTAAAACCAATAGGTCAAAATAATTATTAAGAAAGTTAAGTAAAACTAAAAAAAATATTTGAAGACATTAGTATACTTTTTAATGACTTAAGTGTTTGTTTTAGGCTTCAGTATACATTGTAATATAGGATTGGGAACTATTACATTTTATTAGTTAACACTAGACCACTTAAAATAAAGTTTTAGTTTTTTTCCATTAAGGAAGATTTCTTTAATATATCATTATTTTACAATTCCTTTAATTTAAAGAAATAAATAAGCAAAATAATATTTGAGTGGATGCAAAGTTTTTTAATGTTTAATATATAACAGATATAACAGGCATTGTAAAAACTTTACAATTAATATGTTCATGCTTGATTGTAGTATAAGAAAGTAAATTAAAATATTTTATAAACTCATTGGCTTTACATTTAAAATGAAGTGAGGGGGGGGGTAGGGGATAACCACTGCAATAGTTAGCAAAACATTCTCATTTGACATATGCATAAAAATACTTAATTTTGGAGTTTCACAATGCCTAAAACTGTCATATTTGAGACATCAAAAAATCCTGAAAGTTTTACAGCAAAACTGAAAAGTCTTTAGGAAGAAAAAAAGAAAGAAAAATCTTTTAGAGATTTTTTGGAGTAATTAGTCATAATCATGGCGTTCTAGAAATACAGCTCTTGACAAAACACCTTGACAATATGTTGGAAGTTTTGTTGAGTGAAGCATTAATAAGTAAAGCGGTTGTGGACAGGTAGATGCAATAAAGTTTTAAAGTTAGTAAATTATAATATAGTTATGATATAATATAGTAAAGTTTAAATAAAGACTGATTGTCATGACTTTTAAAACTTTTTGCCTAGACTCCTTAGAGCATCTTGGAAATTTTACTGTGGTTGAATTTTTTTAAAACAGGTTTTAAAAAAATTCAACCACAATTTTGCTTAAGTGCAAATTTCAGTCATCAATGCCAAATTGAAACTTTTGTGATACAGATTTGTAATACATCAAAAATGTTTGATAAAGTTCATCTGACAACTGCTCAAATAAGACTAAACTAAATCTGCACCACTGAACAATAATATCTAAGTGAAAAAAACAAAACCTCCTCTATTCAGATCATCAATGTCACATTTTATATAATAAAATTGTGTATCAGTATAATCATAACCATTTTTTTAAACATATATCAAATTGAATCTAATGTTTCTGCTCAAATTTTATCCTTAAGTTTTGGTAAATTGTTAAATATTTTGCACTCCTGTTTGTTTAAACTTCAAAAACTATTAGAAGAATGACCATTGGTACAATCATCAAAATTACCCATTTCTAATGTAGAAAAAGTTTTGTATGTTCGGTTCTTTTCTTACGACGGGCTGAGCAGTAATAAAATAGCTTCCTTCAGAACCCTGTTGAAGCTTTATAAAGCTTTCTCTAATAAGCCACCCTAGAATAATGTAGTTATTTTCACAATTCAAAAGATACCTTGCAATGTTGGCTAACCCCTGACACACATGAGGAATACATTTAGAAGTATCTTTTGTAAGATATTTATATGTCTTTTTTCTCTGTGTGATCTTACAACTTTTCAACTTTACAACTCCACATTTTTATAGCCAATATTTGGTCCAACACCTTTTACATAACAAGTTTACCAAAACTTCAAAAATGTAGAAATAAATTAGATGGTGCAAATAAAATCTCTTTTTTAACGGTTGGATGATTTTTAAGTGTAGCAATCATTTCTTCACAGAAAACCTGTAAACAAGTGTGGCTTATTTGGCTTCGATAGAATAAAATGTCTGATTAGAAAGTCAACAAAACATTTCAAAATCCATGATAAACTATTAATTAAGTAGAATATTAGAACCAAAGCAAACAATTTATGCAAGTTTATAGTTTTATTCAAAATGTAAGAAACAAAGAAATAAAATACCATGAAACTTAGTAGAACCCCCTTTTGCTTTAAAAACTTTTTCAACCCTCGTAAGCATTCCAGAAATCAATCTTTGACACATTTCCTGTATCTCTGGGTTGTGTATCCAGATCTGTTAGTGCATCAATCAACGCCACTCTTTTTGTTGTCTTTCTGGTTGGAATTCTACACATAAATAATAAATTTTCAATATTCATATCAGGTGATTGGCTGGCCAATCAAACACTGTGACATTGTGCTGCAAATACTGCTTGATAGAGCGGTATGTGTGACAAGGTGCACTGTCTTGTTGGAATACTGCTCTGCCTGTTGGAAAGCAAATTAACAGCTCTGTTAGCGGGTTTTTTCCCAACACCTTGATATAATATTGCTGCCTGATTGTCCCCTCCAGTATACACAGCTTTCCAACACCATGGGTTGAAATCATAGACTACACCGTCACTGATGGCAGATGCTTCACAGTTTTTACAATGCATTTAGGAAAATATTCCTCACCAGAATGACATCAAACATACAGACACATGTTATCAAGAATCTTGACTTATCACTGAAGTCAACCCAAAACACAAACATAAATAAACAGTAATATAAGTAATTTATAACAAATATTTAAACATTTGCAAGTAGGGCAACTAACGAAGCTCTGCTATAATAAATGTCAGCTCTTTTTTTTTTTGTTTAGAAAAATATGCATCTAGTTGTTTTTAAAGTTGTTCAATGATGAGGCAGATTTGATGGAATTTGGAAGTAAATTCCAGTCAGGTATGATGCAACTGGTGAAGAGAAAATTCTCATTGGGCACAGTTAGCTACTGTTTGGCGTTGAATTCGATGACATTGTTCTAGGAGGCTTTTTACAAGTCCCTGCACACTTTATGCTGAAGCTAACTGGTTTGGTCTCTTGAGTTTGACATTGTTGAGGCCATATCTTGAAGTATTGGATGAGGTCACCTTTACGCTGTCTATCCTCTGAAGATTGAATATTTATAGTGGTTAGTCTTTGACAATACTTTAAAGGCCTAAGATGAGGCATGAACTTAGTGGCTTTTTCTTGCACTGCTTCGAGAATGTCTATGTCTCGGCTATTATAAGGGTTCCATGTGGAAGAGCAAAACTCAAGATTCAACTCAAGCCATACAAGTTGTATAAAGTATACAAAAGCTATTAATATCCCAATAGTTGAAGGTTCTTTTGAATATATCTAGTGCCATGTTAGCCTTAGCAACAGTGAGTGCAAATTAATCTCGCCACTTGAGTTGGCGTTCTCGCTCAAAGTTTGTCCTGTCAAGGTTGTGGTTGCTAAGGTGGTCAGTCATAATGAAGATTATGTGCAAACTCGGTAGGTCATCAATAAAAGCAGTATTAAAACGGTTGTCAAAGAACTTTGCACTATCTTTCCTAGCTTTGCACTTGTCTATGTTAAAACTTATGTCATAGGCATGGGCCCATTTGACAAGGTGGTCAATTTCATTTTGGTGAGTTTTATAGTCAGAGGTGTTCTTTATAATGGCCATTAGTTTCACGTCATCGACACACAGTTTACAAATATGACAAGTGATGCCTGGTATGTTGTTAATAAAGATCATAAAGAGGAGAGGCCCCAGTACAGAACCTTGCAGAACTCCACTGAGGACCTCCGATTAATCAGAGAAGTACTCACCTTATACAACTCTTTGACTGTGGCCAGTTAAGCTTTTGTCCATCCGCAGGTATAGGTACGTGTCAAAATCATATGCACATAATTTGACAGTTCGTGACTAACCTTATCGAAAGGTTTAGAAAAATCAATAAGAATCATGATAATTTCTAGACAAGGTTCAAGCGCTATAAAGATGATATCAAAGGTTTCGATCAAGTTTGTCATGCGCAATTTTCGATTCCATCTGTATATCCTGTCAGAAATGCACAATGGCATTTCTGACAGGATGTACTGATATAATCCATCAATATCTGTTGGATTGGTGCGTGCAGAAAGCTTTATAAACAAGCTTTTTGACTTTGCATGAGACTTTGTTAAACATCAGTTTTACAAGGTGTTTTTGATCACATGGTACTGTTTGAAGTCAAATGAAAAGGCTTTTCTTAACTCTTGCTTAACTTCATTTTTTAGCCATATTGGGTCAGGTTTGAGCTGGATAAGGTTGTGGCAAGTCGGAGTGAAAAATAATGCAGTAGCAATATATATTTCTGAAAGACAGGCATAGCACTGTTTAACTGTAGAGTTGAACAGCTTTTGCACATTTCCGAACCCAACTAATCATATTGAAGTAGTTGATCATGCTTTTC